TTTATCAAAATGCAACCATGGCCTTAGTATTATAAAAGGACTGGCGATATGTGCAAGAATTTCTGAGGTAAGCGTTATTTTTTAACCTGTTTTCGATGATTAAAGTTGGTCATGCCTTGGCAACGTGATGACTCAAGTCCGAGTCTGTTTACAATTTTCAAACTAAAAAATCTGGAATTCCCATGGTTCGATTTTCGTAATTTTTGCAAAAAAATCAAGACAAATGTCTAAACTAAAAATCTGCTGGAGGGATCCCCGGGATCCCCCGGCAGTTTTCGAGATATTTGGCATTGAAGTGACCATACTCAATTCAACCTTTGCCAAAATGGCGTCTAATATCTGGGGAAGATATTGCGCCACCAAAGCTTGATTTTCACAATGAATTTTGAAAGTCCCCCAATATTAGGATCAGTTTTCTTTACAGTAAGTGTTAAATTACTTTTGAAAGACTATTTAGAAGACTTAGGAGTTATTTGCCTGTTTTTACAGATTTTATATCTGGGCTGGTATTACTAGCCTGCATGCCCATCTCCTTGACATGCATGCCTATCTCCTTGGCAAGTGAAATTGTCTGGTGATAGAGACGATTTTAAAAGAACAGCACATTATAAAGTGATCAGATTTTCTCTCAGTGAAAAATTCTATGTTCCTTTTTAATTACAGCAGTTCAGATATCGATATAGAATTGAAAAAGGGCTTCTTCCTGAATATCCAAGGGCAGGGCCAACTGATGATGTTGAAGAATGAAGACATTTTAGCATGGATTACTAGTATAGATTATAGTATCTCTTGTCCTTTATGATGTCTTTCTGAAAGTTATTGGTGAATACAAATTGAGCTGTGATCCCTCAACGTGGCCAACAACATGCTCCACCAAATACCTGAGCACAATATAGAAAGTGCACATACATGCAGGGATGGATTTACTGGGAGGGTGTGGGGTGTGTACCCCCTAGCCCTGGCCAGAGGGGGTGCAGGAGGGTGCTATTTTTTATGATAAAGCAAAAAAGACAAAATGAGATACAATAATTTGAGTAATAACATGATAAGTGAACTGTGAACAATTACAATTCAAATACAGCAGTTGATGGGTGGGCGGCACACATGACCGACACAATTCGGCAGTTGGCACCAGAGCACCCCCCTACCAGATCATGCTGGATCCATCCCTGCATACATGTACTGTATCATATTTAATTAATGCTTGAGCATATTTGTTCAAATTTATTGACATTAATAATTAAATTATGTTTGTTATAGTAGTGTACATTTTGCACCAGCCACTCTTGAAATTAGACGTCAGCCACTTTTTAACTAGATGGCCATGGATGACCTAAGAAATTGTTTTCTTTATTAAACAGCAACTTGCAAGCTTTGTGATATTTCGTGAATACCTCAAAAGTTGTCAGCTGCTGTTTACATTATCTACTTCATATGTTTCGATAATTTTTGTTGAAAAGATGCTGAATTGTCAGCATGTGACAATTCATTTCAAGCACCATGTAAGTTGCCACACATCACCCACAGTATTTTTTGGACAAGCCAGGTTTAACACCCTGGCTGGTACAGTTATTGTATATACCTGTAGTATAATTCACCATGTTTGGTTTTTTAGTATGCATGAACACTATTAAGTTAAAGGAGGGGGCATTTATAATGCAGGTACATTATTTGATAATTCTGAAGACCATTCAGAGTCAACAGGTGTATATAGAAACAAGTAAATAGAGACCCATATTTTGACTGGATATAAGAACCATTTAAATTCAACTCAGCCCGATTTTCACAGAACCAACTTTAAAACGAACTGCAGTCGAACTTTACAATATACATTCAGAACTTACAAATAAACATTGGTGGTCAGATTTCAAAGACAAATTGACAGTAAGATGTAATTTTATTGTTGGGGATGGGTTGGTGCTTTAGGGGTTGGTGCTTTAGGGTTTAGGCTCAATTCCTGCAGAAGGGTTACATAAAGTCACAGCAATTTGAAAATTAATTACATGGCTTGACAAAATAAATTCTATTCAGTCACGAAATAGGTAGATGCATTTATTTATAGCACATGTTTTTTTAAGTTTAGATCGATATAGGTAATGAGAACCATATTGGTGTCCTACACAATAAAAAAGCAATATTGCTATTTTGAGGGAGTTGCACAAGTGCACATGACAGATATTGTTTTCTTATAGATACACACCTACTTAAATTAAATGATTTTTCATTTTTGTTTGGCAATAAAGTGAAAGGTAAAAATTCTGAAAAAATTAGTTAGCCAATTTAAATAACATCATTTCTATAACTTGCTAAACCTAGTCAGTTACTATTATATCACAAACATCTGTCGACATACACTCATGCCCCTCCTTACCACTTGAGTTCCCACTCACCACATCCCTTTATGAAAAATTTTGGATAAAATCCTATTTTAAAAAAGTCAACCCTATACTTTATATGCTGAACATAGACCTCTAAGATATCTCATGCAGCAATTAGTGGGTGCAAATAATATAGCCAACATCACATGTGTCCATCCAGTTCCATAGTCTACATCAATTGCTATTGCACTTGGGTCCATTGGATTCAATGGTTTTGGACGTATTCTTACATTCACTGGTTTATCTTGTCCATGAATTGCAAGGCATGCCTGTTACAAATGATCTTGGTAATGTTTCTCATGAACAGCACCAATGCACTTGAATGGCACAGCATGGGTGATTTCGTCCTCGTCACTTTCATCCTGATCACTTAACTGGTCACCACTTTCTGCCCTATCACCTTCATTACCATATCCATGCTGACCAGGTTCAAGACCAGCCAACCACTGAACCACTCAAGTAGATCTCTTTCTACAAAATCATAACAAGAAAATTTTTATTTTATTATTTTATACATACACTGTAATCTCTAAAATTAGCAATCTAATGCAAAAGTGTGTCACTATTTACAGTAATATTAGAACAACACACAAATATTATTTTACAGATGAAAATTGAAAAATATACTATACTGTATGCACATATATGTAAAAATCTATCCATACAAACAGGCATCATACTTCAGCAAAAATGTATTAAACAATTCGTTTAACTCAAAACATGTACATATGTATCACAGTGACACAGTACATATACACATACTATAGGGTCAAACTAAAGGCATTGTAAACACAAGTATGACGCCATAATTTTGTACAGTGTATTTATATTAAAAGTACAAGAATAAAAACAACAAAGCGGAAATTTGACTATAAAATAACACGATAACTGTAATGCATTGTAGTATACCAACCTTAAATACTGCGCTTGTTTTCACGTTGATGATACACAGAGATTTAACGCCATCCAACTTAGAAAGAAGCCCCGCTATTGGGAATATAAATTAAACACAATTCCTTTTCTCAGACGGATTATTTGTAAAGCTAAAATGACAGCACGTCCCATGCAATTTAAAAAAAGGTAAACTTGATATAGTAAAACACAAGTCATAATGATGATCGCAACAATACAGCAATAACATGCTGTTTTCACAAAATATCGCAGCCTGACATTCTTGTCGTTCGAAAGCTTCCATATTGGTTTTGTAGTCAGAGAGATGTTCACTCCTCGACAGTCAACAGTCAATGAAAGCCACGCGTGGAATTAGGCGCTCAATACCCATGATGCTTTGCGGCCTGCTGTCCAACCTCCAAATACCGGTGCCAAATTAAAGACGGGGGGGAGGGAATTACGGAAACGAGTCACAGAAGAAACAAAAATGGCGGCAAGAACAGGAGTGCGTTGTTTATTTGGTTCATATGTTAAACAATTTTATTCTACTTCTCGTTTGTCTAGGACGTTTTACCTGTTTGTACCTAAATATGTATCACATACCACACAACCAATGCGAAGTCATGCACTTTTTAGCAATGTATCATGTAAGTTGAAATTGCATAACTTTTGTTATTTTTGTACAAATTTTTATCTCAGGCGTTCGTTGCAGGGGTTTAAATAGGGTTAAAATGAATGTTAAGGTTTTATTAAGAGATCATGACCCGGGATTTCAAATTTAATATGAACACTTGTGAGGTAGTCCAACCTGTTTATATGAGTCTGGTCCTCAGGTTCTGCAGGCTGGCTCGGTTATGAACAGGATGTCCGACTACAGTGAAATACTCAGCGACTACACAGAATAATATGTTTTGACCCACCTACATCCCCCTAAGCATTATTGAGATGTTTTTCGTGGCTACTTGCATGAATATGGGTCCTAGAGTCACCAACATTAGCCTGGGTAACCAGGGCCGTAGCAAGACTGATAATTGGGGGTGTGTGCATATTCATATATTCGTGTTCTGCTTGACTGATTTCTTTTGAAATCGATTGTTTTTACGGTATGTGAACATGAACATATGAATATACAAACCCCCCAATTATCACATCTAGCTAGGGCCCTGTGGGTAATGTGGCCTAGCACAACAACCCTCTTTGAATGTGTCCAGTAAAGCATGAATTTGCCCTGTGACAACCCAGGCCTACACTATATTGACTCATAAACAAGTTTTTCCTGCCAATTTTTGCTAATGCTTAAAAATTGTACATTGATCATTAACCTTATCCCCCATGTTACAATCCTAGACAAATAACATGCGGACGCTGATTAAAAATGGCTGAAATTAAGGCAATCAAATAATTATACGCATATTCAGCTGTATTCCCCGCTCCCCCCTTAAAAATAATTATACACATATTCAGCCGTATTCCCTGCTCCCCCGTTACAATGTTGTTGCTACAGATACCGCAATAGTTGCCATAATGACTGAAGTGTTCATCAACATTGTTTCAGGGGAGGGGGGACCGACTTTACGAAGTATATATGAAAATGTTTCAAAAAATAATTTATTTGCCATGTTTGTCTGAGTAAATTTGTCTATGATTGTAGGTATGCTTGTGAAAATTGTGTTTATTATTCTGTTATTCTCATTAATATGCAGAAATGTTGTTTGTATGCAATAATCTTTCAGATAAGATTCATAACAGAAATGCTAGCACAGCAGTGCAAACAGAAGAGTCTGTGTCAGGATGTCCAATTTGTAGTAGAATTTTAACCTTTACATACAAGGTATATAAGTTAAGTGACATTTTGAACATATGGTTTTCAAGGCATCAACCAGCCATAAAAATTAGAGCAACTTATTTTCTGGGACCAGAAGAGCCTGAGATTTCTGGTTTAATCCTGGCTTGTAGTAATTTCCTAAATGTAAAAATTGGCATTCCATCCACACCAGAGAGGGGGACATGAGGACTATCAAAATAAACATCTAGCTATTCATGGATAAAATATCATGAATGCAACATTACTTTATAGGATGTATTATTGCTTGCACAGTTCATCTCACCAGAAGGAAACATTTTGAATAGAAGGATAACAGGTAATAAAACAACCATTTCATAAAAAAATCTAAAAATAAAACAAATGAAAAGTCTATTCCACTTTTGCAATTGTGTACCCCGCCCATTAAGTTGCATTGTGCCTGAATGCACCCTACTTTTAATTATCACTTTCCTCTGTCTAATGCCTGACAATTAACTAAATTTTACTTGTCAAATGAATCTAATCTTGTGCACAAATGAGCTAACTGTAGTTATTGAGAAATATTTACTCATAGAATTTATGGTATAAAATAATCAGGACACTGCCACTGGTAAAATTTGTTACCACCGATAATCTATTGATCAGTAAATGTACTATCCTACTATTCTAACAAAATTTCTGTGCCGTTATTTAACAGGTGTTTGTAGAAAGCAACAGAGGAAACTTGAAAAAGCAATTGAAATATCGAGGAGATTGGGTAAGGATGAACTAACGAAACATGGGCGGGAGATTCTCTGCTAGCATATGGCACCCAACTGCTAAGTTCATTAGTTAAATATGCCACCAAAGGTTGGGGTACGCAACAGCAACCTTGTACCCAGGATCTTCCCTCTTGGGAAGGAAAGACCTTGGTATAGGAGCTGTGTGGTCATGTGATGTCTAGGCACAAGGTTACTGTGGATATGACAACCCATGGTCTGACTTGTTGTTGTTGGTCTTAGATGTTGTTCAAAGGTTTTTCACCAGATGCCATCTGGTGCTTGGTTTCCTACCTCACCAATTACCCTTCTGCCTTCATTGTGCTGCCAGATCAGATCATGTGCAGTGTTATAGCTAGGCTGCCTCAAATCCCTTTCAAAGGGCGTTTCCCATTTTAATGGCCGGACCAGTTACACCAGAATTTGTACACTGTACTTGTATGATGGCTACAATTGGCAGGATAGTAGTACAAGTAGCAATCACACACAATTGGACATTCTACAGTCTAATGCATGTCTTGTTCATATTTTTTTCTTATGAATCACCCTGAACCGTATCCATCCCTATTCTTAGAATTATAGTTCTTTATTGTTAATATTTGTTTTTTTCCTGTTTATCAAAGGATTGATCCCAAGAAAGCCTCCAGCACTGATACACAAAGAAAATGTAACGACGTAGAACTTACATTTTGTTAATGCAATGATGACATCAATCAGCTTCTGGTCACATAATAGTTGATGCCAATTACTCTACACGACCATGTGGTCGCGAAAAGATCTGACCAGCGACAGTAACACTATATGCAAATGTGAATAAATAGACAACTTGCATGTTAGACAGATTTTTGATTTCGGCAAAAGAAAGTAAATTCCCGTAAAGAACTTATTAAAATCAGCAAAATTCCAAAATTTGGGTTGCGAAATGTTGTAAAATGCAGAAAATATAGCCTTGCGAAGTTTGCAATTTTCAGTCATTTTGTATTACGTGCGAAAATTGTTACCATTTTCGAGCCGAAAATGGTAACAATTTCCGCACGTAATACAAATATACTGAAAATATGCAAACTTCGCAAGGCTATATTTTCTGCATTTTACAACATTTCGCAACCAAATTTTGCTATTTAATTACTAATTTCATTATTTTCTTTTTAACTGTTGTGTTTTATTCCCTTCTCTTTACTTAGATTAAAATTTAGTCTAACATGCAAGTTGTCCATTGCAAACCGAATAAGTTATTTATTTAAACATATATATCGTTTATTAAGTTCATTTTAATTTACAGCAATCCAGTGTTTATTGGAAAATTTTGTTGATGCTCTTGGTGCCCATAATACAGTAGATATTTTCAGTATTGATAGAGTTGTAAGATGTACTACTGCATGGTAATGCTGAAACGGACGTGAATATGCACAACACCTGTATTTTTGGTTTATTGATATTTCAGCAATTCCTTATCGAAGCCAGCGATCACTATTGGATGATGGCTTGATTTGGTCAAAGTGTACAGATTTCCGTGAAAGTGAACAAAACAACGAGTCATGTTTATTTTCCAATTAACTATCATGACGGTATAATAGTTTTGTTTGTGGAGCACCACGTAAATTTTATTACTGTTATTTACGTGGTGTTTCCACGAACAAAACTATTATATGTTTTATCCACAGAATAGATATAGGGTTTTATCGCCATGCAAACATACAAAGAACTTATCATGATGGTATTAATAACTTCAATTGTATACCTTAACTTTAGGTGTAAACAGAGGCGGACATTTTGCTGAGTATATATATCGTATATAGGGCGTGCGAATTTAGGGTGACAACATTGTATTCTCGTATTTCTACAAGTCAAGAAAATCTCAGCCATTGTCTTTAAATTCAGTGAACATTTAGTATAAAACAGTCTACAGTAGCAATTGACCATTTGCGTAATAGACTAAATTTTGATCTAGACAAAAACTTCATCACAGCCTGAAAGAGCATCACAACATTAGTAATGTTCCAAAGTTTCGTTGCGAAATGTTGTAAAATGCGGATAATATAGTCATTTTAGTCATTTGGGGAAATTGACAGCCCGATACGCTTTGAGGCTGTCAATTTCCCGTTGTAATCTAAAATGACTGAAATTTGAAAACTTTGCAAGGCTATATTATCCGCATTTTACAACATTTCGCAACGAAATTTTGGAATATTACTAATTTTGTGATGCTCGTTCAAGCTGTGATGAAATTTTTGTCTAAATTTATTTGGATCAAAATTTAGTCTGTTACTCAAATGGTCAATTGAGGCTTTTAAAGTTGTAAAATCATTGTTGCTAGTGTCCAACATTGTATGGCAAAAATAATGCAGGATGTATTTCATTACACTTCGTCCAGACTATTCTAAACAATGTTTATTTACACAAACTATGCCTGACATTCGCATTTCCATATTACTGTACATTACAATATAGTTGAAACATCTATTGCAGATACTTATATACTGTGCAACGTATGAAATGTTAACTTATAACATGAATGGTAAATCCAAATTCTTCTCTCCAGTGCCAACATAGACACAGCCAAACTTCCTGGTCTCTGGTACGTGATAAAATATAAAACCAAGCCAGTGTAAACTTCGCAGTGTAACCAGACCACAGCCTTTCTCGTACTGTACACTCCATGAACCTGGATTACAAAGAAATAACGAAATCACTCGTTCTCTGGCTCACATATGGGAGGAATTAGACAAGGCCGGATTTTGCAGGTGGAATTGCTGGGGCAGGTGGAAATATATTTAGGGGAGGTGCAGCGTCTAGCCCAAGGCCACCATGGAATGGGCAGGACTTAGAATGTAGCCCCCTGTTAAAGTTTACTACATGCATGGCGTATGCGTGTAATGTACATATGTATCAGTGTATTTATGAATTATGACTGTACGACTCATAATTTATGATTTTATGTACGGCTCATATTTTTGTGCATTTGATCATATACTATAACATGTTAATTTGCGCAATATAAATATTAAATATTATTATCCAATATTGCTCTTCATCACATTACTACAAGGTTTATTTCGAAATATTCCAGTAAAAGGCACTTGATACAGAGATGATGAATGGTTATCAGTTTTTCAGGCCTTAAAATATCGGTCGGTCACGGACATTGTCCGACCCATTCGTGAAATTGTCCGACGTAGAGAGGAAACCACCGGACATTCTGTCCGAACAAAGTGAAACTAAGGTTTATTGTTTGTCCGACCCAAGTGAATTGGTGTCCGACCGAACTGTAGCTTTGTCCGACGTAAATCAAAATGTTAAATGGAAAATCAGAATACTATTGTATAAAAGGTGAACTGGAAATGTTGTTTTAATGTAGTCGAGCGCGGGCGGCGAGCGAAATGGTGAAGTGGAAAACGGGCTTAAGTTGTCGAAGTCTTTTTTAACACTGCTGTTCTGGCAAGCAAGCTAATTTTGGCTTGGAAATAAATATGAAAGAAACAAATTATTTAATATCTTTACAACATTTACCGTTTATTCATTGTGTCATTCAGACTTATTTCCGAGCAAAAACTGAACCGAAGGTCATCGGACATATGTCCGACCCAAACTCAACGTCACCGGACATTTTGTCAGACGGCCTTGTAAAAGATATTTTAAGGCCTGAGTTTTTTCAAAATGTAGACTCTAAGAAACGCATATGAAAAAAATTAACTTTGGTCCAATTGAAGTGTTGCTCAAATATTGATTCAATACATTACCTCGGGCTGACCAATTCATTTCATCAAGTTCCTCGAGATATTCATACACTTCCTTGTATAATTGTGAACTTCCTGTTGAATAGTTTGAATGCACCAATCACCTTTGTTGTTTGTGCAACTAACCAATCATAAATAGAAAGGAAGTGACCAGAAATGATCAAATACTTGGAATTGGCTCTTTCACAGGAAGTGTATGAATATCTCGAGGAACTTGATCAAATGAATTGGTCAGCCCGAGGTAATGTATTGAATCAATATTTGAGCAACACTTCAATTGGAACGACAGTAATCTTTCCCACTGAGGGGAGGTTTATGGCGTTTTAGGGGAGGTGCAAAACATCTCAGGGGAGGTGCCCATATCTTCCCACACCTCCCTTCAAAATCCGGCCATGGAGTTAGATCGATCAAATCAATAATACAATACAATACAATACAATACAATACGGGACCGGCATTGTAATTAAAAGTTTCATAACTTATATTAAGGCTTGTTCAAACAAGACCAACACGTTGGTCCAACATTATCTAACTTTAGGGAGCGGAAGCATGCAGGCGACGTTTTTGTCAATACGGACGTGAGATGGTAGAGGGGAATGACAAAACATAAGATTTTAAAATGTTTCGCTTCCTTACACGAATGCTATGATAGTATGATGCAAAATGCCGCCAAAATTAGTTATACCAATTTTCGGGTGACGTCCCTGTTGAAACTGAAAAACGTAGCTTGCTTAATTAAGCTCACTATTTTGGATGCAATCGGGTTACATCAGGGGCGGATTTAGACCGTTGCAACTATAGCATATGCTACGGTCAGATTTTCCATAGGCCAGTTCTAACATGGGTCATAAAATCAATCTAAAATATAATTTAGCAATATTTTGTTTACTTTCCTTGTTTATATTTCAAGGTTTTATTTTATTTAGTTTTATATGTTCTAAAACATTTTATTTTGACAAATTGATGACATTTATAATACGTAACGTTAATTGTTTTAAGAATTCCCGCCCGAAAATACGGTTGTAATTGCCTGTTTGCGGGTCATTACGCAATGGACTATAGCTTAGAAAATATCATCCTTCAGAAATACACCGTAGCGTGTTGCCCATATATGATCAATTTTCGCTACGGTCAGATTCATTAAAGTCGAATCTGACCGTAGCGAAAATTGGCATATACGGCATTCTGATTGGTTTGCTACGGTCAAACGTAGCAAACCAATCGGAATGGGGCAAATGCTATAGTTTGCTACGGTGGCATGAAATTGGCTACTGCTCCAGAACGATGGAATATCTGATATTTGTGTTTGGCTCATCAACAACATGATATTGGGAACCCACAGTACGGTTGTGCGCATTTCGAAATGAAAGCCGTCGTAAAGCTAAAGGATTTATATGCGTCGAGGTAGAAATAAAATCAGATAGTAAAACGAATCATTTCCAGTCAGGTAAGCCTTATGAATGATAAGAGATGCACATTATATTTTAATTTGAGTTTTTACTGTATTCAGTATAGTATAGTTCGCTATTAACTTCGCTTTATTAAAGTGTTTGTGCGCGTATGTACAGTATACCTGCATGTATTGGAATTAATACGCGAATTATGATACGCGCGTATATATATCGTGTTTTATAGCGCGCTAATATTTGTTTGTAATGCGTATATATATATTCGTAAGATACGCGTATTCATATCATACGCGCGTTCATATGATATGCGTATTCGTATGATACACGCGTTCGTAGATGATACGCGCATTTCGGTATTCAATTGATAATAATATGCGTATGATACGACTATCATGCCGATATCGTATGTTAAAATATACGCGAGCAATAGTTTACATTTTGAGATCATTTCGGCTTATTTTTGCTTGAGAAATGAATACAATAAGGACAAATTTAATAGTCACATGCAGTGCTCAGAACGCAGGAAATGGCATTTCCGGGCTTCAAATTTCAAAAAATTTTCGGGGGGGCATGCCCCCGGACCCCCCTAGCTATGCGAGGTCTGGGAAAATGCTACGGTCAGATTTTTGGCTGGATCCGCCCCTGTACATTGTGCAGCAGGCCTTAAAATATCTTTTCCAGGGCCGTCTGACAAAATGTCCGGTGACGTTGAGTTTGGGTCGGACATACTGTATGTCCGATGACCTTCAGTTCAGTTTTGACTCGAAATAAGTCTGAATGACACAAATGAATAAACGGTAAATGCTGTAAAGATATTAAAGAATTTGTTTCTTTCATACTTATTTCCAAGCCAAAATTAACTTGCTTTGCAGAACAGCAGTATCAAAAAGACTTCGACAACTTACTGTCGTTCCAATTGAAGTGTTGCTGAAATATTGATTCAATACATTACCTCGGGCTGACCAATTCATTTGATCAAGTTCCTCGACATATTCATACACTTCCTGTGAAAGAGCCAATTCCAAGTATTTGATCATTTCTGGTCACTTCCTTTCTATTTATGATTGGTTAGTTGCACAAACAACCAAAGGTGATTGGTGCATTCAAACTATTCAACAGGAAGTTTACAATTATACTAGGAAGTGTATGAATATCTCGAGGAACTTGATGAAATGAATTGGTCAGCCCGAGGTAATGTATTGAATCAATATTTCAGCAACACTTCAATTGGAACGACAGTAAGCCCGTTTTCCACTTTATCATTTCGCTCGCCGTCCTGCGCTCGACTACGTTAAAAAAAACACATTTCCAGTTGACCTATTATACAATAGTACTCTGATTTTCCATTTAACATACAAGCCTCTAGTCTTGGGCTAGGGTACATTTTGATTTATACGTCTGATAAAGCTACATTCGGTCGGACACCAATACACTTGGGTCGGACAAACAATTTCACGAATGGGTCGGACAATGTCCGTGACCGACCGATATTTTAAGGCCTGTGTGCAACATTCTCCAACATTGAGAATTTTACCAACCTCCTTTTGGGATATCAGCATCGATTGGATCCAAGAAATCAATAGATTTGTCCAGAGAGGCCTAGAAAATTAAACATATTAACTAGTTAAAGGGAAATGGCAATATATTTTTTTATTTTTTCGTTTGAAAGAACATTTAAAACCATATATAAAACTCTTTTAGCGTTTTTTCATATCTTGCTTACTTCTACAAATATTTTAATCGAAAGAAATGAAATGTCCGCCATCTTGGATTTTTGTAGATATGCATGTTACGTCACAATAGGGGTCATGCAATATTTTTATCTAGACAACCACTAATTATTTTGCACTCAAAATTATACTCCGTATGCCCTTGGAAATATCAAGATCACTTGAAACCTTTAAAACATCTACCAATCAATATTCGGTCAACAGCGAATACTTTTATATGGTTAATCCCTGTTGTGACGTCACCAAAACTACCGTTAATGAGATAAAAAAATTATCCAAGATGGCTGACATCTCATTACTTCAAGTGAAAATATTTCAAGAACTAAGCAAGATATGAAGAATCGGTAAAAGAAGTTATTAAATAGTTTCAAAAGTTCTTTCAAATGAAAAAATAAAAAAATATATTGCCATTTCCCTTTAATATATAATTACTCGGTTTGTTTGAAAATTGCTTCTCTTATTGAGAATAGCACTAAACTACAAGAACCATTCTGACTGTGAATTGAAATGCGGTCATGCAAACGGGGATTAAAGTAATTAAGAACTGAGAGTTGGTTGCAACTCTCGCTCGCATTTAACCCGGGAAACAACCAACTCTCATGGATGCATTTTTTTCAATCTTGAGCTGGTTCAAAATTTCACGCGCGTGGTACTGTAATATATTCATCAACTCTCATACACCTCTTTGTGCTTTATCACCAGAGTTGAGACAACTCCCATGCAAACTCTCGCTAGTCTGGACTCTCATTCTCCATTAGACCAGCTCGCTTAAACATTGATGGAATTTTTGGTAAAGAAACTTTATGGAGAGACTTCATACCTTTTGTAGAAGAGTTTTCTGGTTCAAAAGTATTGGTTCGCGGAAATGAAAATAACAACATAGTTTCCCTGCATCGGCGGTTGAAAGTCCTTAAAATAAATAAACCATATATAAGGTAAAAAGCAGTTCGTCAAGACAGTATGTTTAAATAAAAGCCTGCATGGGGACACTAGACAGATCCAATCACTTCAGAAGACTACAACCTTATAGTCTAGCTCCAAGACCCAAAAAATTCAAAGACTTTCAAAGATTTTTTCTGCCTATTTTCAAAGACTTTTCAAAGACCTCCGGAGAGCAATCAGCTATCGAAAAATTGCAAGTGTAAGCACCATTTTTACCCAGTAATTAGTCATGTCAAATATCACATCCTAAAATGCGACTTTTCATCGATATTTGCGACAATCTTGCTTCAATAAATCTATTTTATTAGCTAGGAAATCATATATAAATGGTATAATCAAATACTCATGCACTAAAGAATTTAAAGACTTTTCAAGACTCTTCGCTTTTTCACACAATTGAAAGACTTTTCAAAGACCTGAAAGACCTGCATTCAAATTTAAAGACTTCCAAGGATTTCAAAGACCGCTACGAACCCTGTGACATTACGTAATTTGACAAATTTTGGCTCAACAGAATTTTTTTACTACTGCACGCTCTACACTACCGCGCTACATATGCCTATAGCCTATTAGCCTGGTTTCCATATGGCCCTGATGGTCGTAAAAGTCACGCTATTCTCAGCGGCCAGTTTATAATAGTTGATACCTGTGAACCACATATAAATCACAAGTATTCCGTCTAGTTATAATCACTCCGCGTATTTTCAGTTCTAAAATGTTGCATTTCGGCTGATAAGAAAGATCGTGACTCAATTTTACCACCAGGCCAAAAAAAAAATATGTGGGTTTCCGGTTTCCCGACCCTACCTAGCTTTTGGACGTCGAAATCCCGACCCTAAACTTTTTTATTGGATCATGCTTGTAAGTGTTTCCACTTAGAGGAAAAACTTTGTGGAAAATTGAATTTTGAGGCAATATTGGGGAAATTTATCTTTGGATGTGGAAGCACTGACTAAACAAAATGGCGTCCGCTTATTCGGAAAATTAAAAAAAAAAGTTAAAAAAAAAGTTAAAACCGACCTACCCTACCTAAGTTTTTATAAGAAGAAACCGGAAACCCACATATTTTTTTTGGCCCCATATGGAAATCAGGCTTATGAAAAATGTGAAATTAGTAATTACAGCTCTTGAGTTGATGCGATTCGTACGATCATGCGATTCATGCATCAGATTGCAAGAAACAATATTAATTTCAACGTGGATGTAAAACTGCTTTTTCTTGCTCAAAATAAAGTGCCCAAATTAAACTGAGACCACCTCAAAATTAGTAAGTGTACAAAGTTTGAAGACGTTTACATGAATATCCATCGAATAATAAGCTTTCGAAAATCGTGATATTTACTATGAAATGTATTGTAATTTTTGTTTTGGGAACGCGCGTCCCAAAAAACAATCTTAGTTTTAATCAGTAATTTGACAATTTTCGAAAGCTTATTATTTGAAGGGTAAACGTCTTCAAACTTTGTATACTTACTAATTTTGAGGTGGTCTTTTTAGTTATTTGGTTCATTTCTTAATTTGGGCACTTTTTAGCACTCGTCCCCAGTCCTCTCAACTTCAGCTAATTGGTCGGGAAGTTAGTAAAGTTAGATATAAATATATTTGATAGTAAGGTGTAACCTTAACAATTTTGCATCCATATATTCTACTAGTCTAGGTAAAATTGTGGACAATCAGTTGTCATGATCATCATCAAACCTCGAATTTTGCATTTGTCACTAAATTGTCGAATTAAAAATCATACATAACATGACAAGATTTCCTCAATTTTCGTTGTTTCTGGCTACTTTTCTCAAACAGTTCCAAGCTAGCTGAATTGAACCACATGCCACCTATCTGCCATAATGATTTTAATATGCAATCGATCAAACACTCGAAGGGCGAATTTCTTCGCGGCTGAAAACTATGGATTTTCGTTATTTTTAGTCATAAAGATCAAATTACTGATATTAATGGAATAATAATACTAGCAATAATGGACAAATATGCGGCCAGTTCTAGGAGATGCGGGCGAAGGACAGGAATCAAACTAATGTCTAATTTAGTTATTTGGAGTGGCCTAACTACCTTCAAAACTTCTGTTTGCATAGATGTCACCATTTGCAGCTCTAAGAAATGCTGCTCTTGGTACGATCGAGACATCGTAATTGATTGATGCTATAACTGTGGCCAATCTATCTTCCTCCTTCACTAGGACCTGTGAAAAGAATTTTAAGAAATTCAGGGCCGGTTGCATAAAAATTTAGTTAAGGTTAACTATAAACAGTAAGTTAGCAATAAAAGATTTTGTAGACGAAAAATGCAACTATATAATATAAGCCTTCTGGCAGGAATATCAAACCTGTGGCCCTAGGATTCCGGTGCAACACTCTAACCAACTGAGCTATAGAGTCCAGTTGTCAAGCTCTAACCAAATGTTCACTCTGTCAGTCTCACTCTTTAGTCAGTTAGTTAGAGTGCTGCACAGGAATTGCAGGGCTGCAGGTTCGATTCCCACCAGAGGGCCTATATATATATAGTTGCATTTTTCTTAGCTGCTCCTGGTTATACAGTAGATCTTAATAAATGTGTCAGTAAAATTTACGTTTCAGTATTACTATTCAGTTCAATCAATCAGACCTTCCAACTTTGTGGCATGAAAATGAGTGAGATTTAATTATTTCCTGTAATCTGAGTCATATAGCGCCCGTTGATGGCGGGCTGGTGCCGTCGGCAGGCGTTGGCTTAGGGGTTTTAGGGAGTTCGGGGGTTTTAAATCTGGAGTCTCTGAAATGCCATTTCCTGCATTTTTGGGAGAAGATTAACAGAATTCTAAAGGTACAAAATGGCATTAAAAAATCTCAAAAGTAACACTTTTTTGGACATCTGCATGCAATTATAAGTTTCATTTATTTTTTTATTTCGTTAATATTGTTTAAAAAGTAAAAGTCATTCTAAATTTAAATGTTAATGAGTTATAGCTTGCGCTTATGTGCTTTGTTGTATTCATAAGTAGCAGATTTAGCTGCTTTTAATGTGTTATAATGCTAATTCATCACACGAAATTAATAAGATTACAGTTTATATTTTACAAAAAGCGTTGTCTGGGGAAATCCCTCATTATAACTAAGTGTCAATTTACTATTGCCCAATAGTGCAACTTATGTAATACTATACGTTACACAGCAACTGCTCGAAAAATACTTTATTTTATAGCTATTGATTCAGCTAAATAGGAATATTTGCTTGCGAAGAGAAGCGTTAAAACAAAAGTTGGATAGCTTCCTATTTTTTCGCTTTTGCGTGAGAAAATAGTGTTTATATGCGTGTGAGCGTGAGAAATATGTCAAATGCGTGTGTCTCGATCACGCAAAATGCGTGAGAGTTGGAAGGTCTGATCAATTGCAAGTGAGATGTCCAAAATTTTAACAAATCCTGATATATTTATCCAATCATATACTGTACCGTAGTTAGCAATTAATTAAACTACAGTAAGTGTATAGTTAAATCCTTACAGTTGTAACTGTAAGTCAGGTAGTTTAATAACTAGACAAGTACACACATGATTGAACTGCACTGCACAAAGGATAGTTAGGTCAGGGTGCAGTTACTGGTTACATATGGAGTTAAATTGTATAATTGAAAATGATTTTGTACATAAAGTCCAACTCTGGACTGCCAACTACTTTACTTATAGGCAATGGTTTGTTCTTTATATCAATTTTATTGTTCTATTCAATTTTATTGTTCTTATATCATATAGTTCTTATCAATTTTATCCCAAGTTTAAAATTCACACCAGCTAGGTCCCAAATTATATGCGAGATAAATTGTGATATTTTGGGATAGCATAATTTAATTCCTGCATTTGTAATTTATTGGTAATTGCTTTCATATATGGAAATTGAAAATTTTAATGTGGAAGCACTGATTCCCAGGGTTTCATGCACATATTAATTAATGTTTGACAGACAAGCACATGCATGCACACAAACAGACAGACAGACATACAAATGCAGGTGAAAACATAACCTCAAGCAGAGGCTAGTATATAAATAATCTGACGTCAGTACTGAGGGACCCTAATTGGGAGCCAAACAATTTATTTCTATATATACCCAT